TAATAGGACTTCAAAAGAAGTGCTGACTCTAAGCTGTATTAATAGACTTACTGGAGACAAACACACAACTATATGCATAGACATTTTTCTTTCTTATTCCAAATATCAGTACAATTCATAGCTGGTGCCACTAACTCACAGCCATGTGAAGGCCAGATGGGATTGCATGCTGTGTTTCTCAGCTTCTGCTTTGTCTGTGATCAGCAGTCACCACATGTTCATCAGAGCAAACTCAGAAGAGCTGTAATAAGGTTATCTGTTGAGGATAGGAAGGTTATAGGATCATTAACATTTTAACTCATAAAATGTAAAGCAGAGAATAATTTTGAAATGACTCTGTAGTAAGGTGGTGACAAACTATACTACCTGATTAACATCTACTATTTGCCAGGAACTATACCAGGAACATTGTATATATAATAGCATTTAGAACTCAGAGAACCCTTCAAGGCAGTATTATTATATCAATTTGCCAAACGGAAGATTGGAGAATGTATCTACGGTAATACAGCCCCATCAGTGGCAGAATCTAGAATGCAAACTTAGCTTTCTGGGAAAGCATATTCTGTAAATATATAACTGTTTAAGTTAACAAATTCAGGCAGTTTTTAAAGTTGAGACAGATTCTGATTCTGCTAACTTTGTGTCTGAAGCCAACGTCTAACTACTGGGCCATTCTAACTGAGCACATCTCATTTCATGCACGTCAACTTACCTGCTTAACTTTTCTCTCTCCTTGTGACTAAGCAATAGCTTATGGTTGCTATCATACCGGAGATAGCTATCTTGGCAGGACACCAACGAAGTAAACAGATATTAGAAAACTGCTGTCTCTTTTCATTGTACTAAAAGTAGTTTGTTCATCCCATGAAGTTAACAAGATCTGCCCAGGCAGACACCACCTTCAGCCTGCACCTTTCACTGCCCTTCCTGTGTCTTAAAATACTTTCTCTCTCTTCAGAACTCAGCTTGCACATTCTGCAACTATCTATTATCATCACAATTTAGCACAAAACACCTGCCCCATAGATCTATTCTTCACATTCCATAGCTAAGATGCAGAAGCTCTAGAAGGTGAAAACTAGAGGCTTTGAATGGAGAGACTGGAGAGTGGATGTTAAACAACCTGATTTTTATGCAACTGACTGAGGTCCCTTCTGAGATGTTTTTAAGTGTCTTTTATCAGTTCTTTGCCAGAACTGCCTCCCTGGGCTTCATTATATCAGACCCTGGGGATAAGGAAAAGCAGAGAAGAGAGTGCTCACATGAGAAGTCTAGATGGGAATCCCAAAGGCTGCCATACACTTGTCGCTGTGTAAAGAATCTGGTGAAAGTTTTGGAAAGCTCACAACTCCAAGAAAGCAGAGTGTGTGTCATTGATAATGCTGTATGTCTGGTGCATCCTAATGAATAGTTTATGTACATTGGCTGTGACTGGGTGGTCTATAGAACCACACATAACATAAGCAGTGTGGCTGTTCCCCAAAAGATTAAAATGTATTTTTCTAAGGGCCTCCTTGGTGGCCTAGGGTTTATTCTCAGGGCTATGTCTGCTGCAATCTGAGTTCCATCACCAGCCAGAGAGCTGACCCCCATGGTGCAGCAGGCCTCTCCTGTCTCACCCACTGCTCCGCTCAGTCAATCTACCTGTTCCTGCTCTCTCTGGTGAATCCTCTCATACCCTCAACCCCCCCCCCCCACATCTGGCCTATACTCCATTTCTTCTAAGTAATTCTTAAAAATTTTTTTTCAGTGTTCACTCCCAGTAATTTTTGGTTACAATTACAAAACTAAGTTCTTTTTTCATTGAGGCAGTATTAGTGTGTGACTCTGTATATGTTTCAAGCATAGAATTTCTCACTGAAGCAGCTACATATCTCCCAACATGCCCACCACTAAATGTGCAGTCACATATATTACCAACCAGTCAACTCCGAACTGCTTGCCTTCCCTTGTCCTTTAGAAACCACCATTATGTTGTCAGACTGTAAGGTTTTATTTTGTTTTCTTTATATTCCACAAATGAGCAAAATTACAGTGTTTTTTTTTTTCTTTCAGTCTTACTTTATTATCACAATACCCTCAAGGTGTATCTATGTTGTCACAAATGGCAACAGCTCATGTTTTGTTAATGATTGAGTAGTATTTCATTGTGTCTTTATACCACATTTTCCAATCATCTACTCTACGATATTTGAATTATTTCAAATTCTTGCTTATTGTGAATAGTGCTTTAATAAATAAGGGTGCTTATATCTTTTTGAATTAGTGTTTTTTCATCTTTCTTTGTATGAATACCTTGAAGTGAAATTACTGAATTATGCGATAGTTATATTTTTAATTTTTTGAGCAATATCCATATTGTTTTCCATGATGACTACACAATTTGACAGTCCGAACAACAGTGTGCAAGAGTTTCTTTTTCTCCACATTGTAGGCCAACACCTATTGTTCCTTGAGTTTTTAAAATTAACCATCCTAATAATGTGAAACAAATTTCATTGTGGTTTTATTTTTCATTTTCCCAATAATAAATGGTTATAACATCTTCATATTTCTCTTGGCCATTTATATGTCTTCTTTGATGAACTATCTTACAAAACTAGTCAGATTATATATGTTGATAAGAATGAAAGTAATTATGAGACATTATCTATTTTCTCAGAAACTGTTTCCTAGGAAGTACTGTTTTTCACTCAGAAACTTATCTATGCTGCTTGAAAATAGCATAGATATACTATGACTTTTAAAGGTCTGGCTTAAAAAGTGCTAGAAACTGTGGGATTTAAAAATTGAGGCCCCATTCCCTGGTGGTTAAAGCACAGGGTTAAAGCACAGCACTGAGAAGCTGAAGCCGCTTCCGCATGAGTTCGATTCCCGCCTGCCCTGGAGGAGACCACATGGGGTGGCAGACCTCTCCTACCCGCCCGCTGCTCCCCTCAGCAGTGTACTTCGTCGATCTGCCTGTTCTGCTCCCCACTCTGTCTCTGGTGAAGCCTCTCACCTTCTGCATCTCTGGCCTGTACCCCAGTTCTATATGAATAAATAAATCTTTAAAAAAAAATTGAGGCCCCCAAAACCACATATTCTAGAACTAGGTAATGGCAGGAGACATCATTCCTCCAAATTAGTGCAGAGCTAATATTCTTACTGGGAAGACAGTAAGGCAGGAATAATGCACTGGTGAAACACAGCTGTCCAGTGTCCATAGACAGCTCCCTGGTACCATCATGCAGGCCACTGGCTACCAGGTGAGGGTATCAGAGGTGATGATAAAGATGGTATTTATGTTTAAGCCTGCAGCTCTATCTATATGGCTGACAGTTACACTAGAGAAGGTCAGATTCATATTATCCTGGTGCAGACAGGCAAATGAGTCAAAGACATGCCCATAGTAAAAGCAGCAGGAGAGGAGAAGAGTTAGGCTCTTGTCCTAAAACAAATTCTGCCTGTTGGACTCTGAAAAAAAAAAAAGAACAGTGAAGTCTGTCTCAATAAACAAGAAATGACATCCCGGTGGTCAAGACCATGGTAAGAAGAAACTCTGAGAAGGAGGAACCATGATGGAGAACTATGTAAAGCAAGCATCTGTAACAATATCACAGTGACTAAACCACAGGTCATCCAGAGCCTAGGAGATACAAGCAGGGCCAATAATTAGTCCCTGAGGTGACAGTCATAACTAACAATAGTAGTAGTATTGGATAGAGCAGGAAGGAGAGTAAATGGGAATGAGCATTCTGGCATATAATTTCTCTGAAATTCCCGTTAGAATGGAGCTGTGGGTGATGTTATACTATTCATGAAAGACTCCAGGCTCTTGGCCTTGGAGAGAAAACATAAGAGCTTTGAGTCAGCAGAAGGAAATATTTTCTCCACTAGAGCACTATAATGAACAAATGAGTATTTGAGAAGGAATGAGAAAATGGCCAGGGGGGGGAAATGTCATTATATTGTCATTACTATCAGGAACACTATTAGCTCCTCCTTCAGAACACATTCCTTGCCAAATTGTGAGCACCTTAATCACTCTGTCTCTGGTTTTTCTCACCATTTCTGGGTATTTATTACTATGAGATTCTTGTTTCTTTTATAGTCCTAGAACTTGAATTTTCTTGGTCCATTCAGGCTGTTACAACAGAGCACCACAGACTGTGCAGTTTAAAGGATAAATCTTTATTTCAAACAGTTCTGGAGGCTGGGGAAGACTAAGACTGAAATGCTAAATGGTTCTATTTCTGGTGAGAGCTCCCTCTCTGTTTTGCAGTCAGTAGTCTTTTCTCTGTCCAACATGGTGGAGAGAGAGAGAGAGAGAGAGAGAGAGAGAGAGAGAGAGAGAGAGAGAGAGCGCTCTTGTCTCTTCTTATTAGGCCACTAATCCCATTCATAAGAGTTTCACCCTTACGACTAGTTATCTTCCAAAGGCTTTGCCTCCAAATACCATCATCCCATTACACTGGAATTAGGCTTCAGCATATGAACTGGCGAGGGGGGATAGATAAGACATTTAGTTTGTAGCACTGACTTTTATTTTCTTCAGTTTTATAGCAATTGCTTATTTAATATTGTAGGAAAGAGGTAAGAACAAAGAGAACCACACAAAATTAAGAGAAAAATTTCTTCTGTCCAAGTAACAATCTTAATTAGAACGATTAAACTGTATTCATTAATTTATTCACTGGTTTATTCATCTGTTATTCATTGATATTCATCCCTATTACATTTTTTTCAATTTTTGATGTAATCATCTGTGTGTTTGTGTTATTTGATATGGCTGGACAGATATAAGAGAAACATGTTAGGAAATCAAAATATGGATAACTTTCTCCCACCCTTTCCTGAAACATACAGAATAACTACAGGAAGCCTCTTGACTACCTTCTCAGATAGTAAGTGACTACCCTTAGCATCACTATCTTGTGGATATTGTTTTGGTTGTCTAATTGTCCATTTGGTTAGCTTCTCTAAAACTCCTTGAGCAACAAGAAAATAAAAAGAAATTACCGAAATGATCTCATAAACTCAAACTTCTTAATGATGCGTTGGCGAATTTGCTTGGTCTTGATACTGTAGACAATAGGGTTCATGAGCGGTGGCACCAGAAGATAAACATAAGACATGAGGAGGTGTACAATGCGAGGCAGGTGTTCGCCAAAGCGGTGCACGAGAGACAGGCCAATCATGGGGATGTAGAAGAGGAGCACAGCACAGATGTGGGAAACACAGGTGTTGAGGGCCCGAAGTCTCTCCTGGCGGGACGCAATGCTTAACACAGTGCGGAGGATGAGAGCATAGGAGAGGAAGATGAGCAGCGAGTCCACACCGACGGTGCAGGCCACAACAAAGAGTCCGTAGATGTGATTGACAATGATGCTAGAGCAGGCCAGTTTCATGATTTCCAGGTGCAGACAATAGGCGTGGGCCAGCACATGCGTACGGCAGTACTGAAAGCGCTTAAGAAGAAAGGGCAGTGGGAAGATGAGCAGGGCGCTTCTAAGAACAGATCCCAGGCCCATCTTGATAATACGTGCAGGCGTTAAGACTGTGGAGTACCGCAGTGGGTTGCAGATGGCCACGTAGCGGTCAATGGACATGGACAAGAGGACGGAAGACTCCACAAGAGACAGAGTGTGGATGAAGAAAAGCTGCGTGAAGCAGGCAGAGATGCCTATCTCTCTGGCATCAAACCAGAAGATACCCAATACTGTGGGCAGTGTTGAAAGGCAAAGACCCAAGTCTGTGAGTGCCAACATGGCCAAGAAATAGTACATGGGTTCATGGAGGGTGGCATCGGTTCTGATGACATGGAGGATGGTGACATTTCCTACAATGACTGTCAAGTAGATGGAGCAGAAGGGAATAGAGATCCAGCCGTGAAGAGCTTCTAGACCCGGAAAGCCGCTCAGGAAGAAAGTGGCTTTATCCAGGCTGCTATTGTAAAAGATGGTCATGGCTTTGAAATCTTGGATTCAGCAATCTGCAATATAGAATGGGATTCCCAGAGAGTGACAAGCTAAGTTCTCACTCATTTCGGTGCCCTGGGGGGCCATGAGTCAGGAAGGATCTGCAGAAAAAATAGGAGAGAATAGAGGTACCTGGTCTTTTAGCCTCTCTTGAAGGATCTAGAAAAGGAATTTTTATAGGGATTTTTATAGGCCATGGACATCATATCACTGGGTGATATTTCCTCTATTGTTGGACTCTTAGAGGTTTACTGAGATCACTTCAGATGATACCCCTTTCATTTGTTCCTCTCAAAAAATCAATCTCCAACTCAATCACACAAACATTTAAAACTGTATCATATTTATGGGGAAAGTGTGCTGTGGAGCTTAATTCTGAGAGTCAGCAGGAGGGATGTGTGTTTCCAACAACATGAAGGTTAAGAGATAGGATGATGCATCAGATATAAAGAGGAAATAGGGCCCTCCCTGGAGGTGCAGTGGTTTCAAACACAGCACCTCAAAGCTGCCTGTGGCTGCTTCATTGTGGGTTCTATCCCTGCTCTGGAGGTCACCCACATGGTGCATCAGACCTCCTGCTGCTCCCCTCAGCAGTGTACTTGTCAGTCAGCCTCTTCTGCTCCCATTCTGTTTCTGGTGAATCCTCTCACCGTCCCTGCACCTTGTACCCCAATTCTTTATGCATAAATAAATAACTTAAAAAAAAATAAAGTGGAAATAACAGGAAACTGAAAATGTGTCAGAAAAGTCTCTAATCTTTAGTTTATAAAGTTTAGGGCTCTTAGGGTGAGCTATGCCTCATTCTGTCCTTGTCTAACATGAGCTGAGTTCTGTTTTATTGCTGCCTTTGCAATTTTCATCCAAATACACTTATTACAAAGCGTGCTATCAGGTGTTCTATGTTTACTAATGCAGTGATTATATGCTTTTTACCATGTGAGTGACAAACTTAACATAATTAATAATTATTGAGTGTTTTGTTCCTATCACCTTTCTAAGTGTTTAATGTATAGTTATGTCATTTAACTCTTACACAGTTCTAGGAGAGAAATTCTATTCTAAGGAACACATTGCAGGTAAGGCAACAGTGACACAAAAAAAATGAAGTGACCTGGGTAAGGTTTTTAAACCAAGTAGGGCTTGAATTCACAGAGGCTACTCTGTTCTCTGCCTTCATATCTCCTCTTGAGACTATTATTTTTACAAAAGCCAGATCATCTGAAAATAAATAAGTAAATCAATTAAAAACCAAACTGATTTTTTTTCTATCTTGGTAGTTCTGTCGCTAGCCATTCCCATTATAAGTGTATCATTAGATTAGCCAATATATGCAATAATAGTTGGGAAATATGTTGGAAGAACTGAGCTCTGCTTGGGATGTGCTGAATGTCACCTCTAATGGGGTTCTTGGAGACAGTTGTCTACTAGGTTTTATATGTAGTGATCTTTGGTCTGAGTGAGGGCTTGCACTGCAGACTATCTTCCATGAACATGAAGAACAATGTCAGCACTTAGAGCATGAAAAGGGAAGACAGGGACTTACCATGGCATTTGCAGTCAGACCACTGAAAACTATTTTAAGTAGTAGAATATAACATTAAAGATAGAAGAAAGACAAGGAATGGAGACAAGGAAGGTGAAAATAGTAGTGCATAATGTCACCAATGTTACATTATCATTGTTTACACAAAAAAAAAAAGAAAAAGAGAAAGTGTTTGAAAAATGGTATTGTACTCATGATAGTGAAGCCAACACTGATTTTCCAGAAAACAGGGGCTATAATTACCAGTGGAGAGGGAGGAATAAACAAACAAGCAAACAAAAAACTAAGAGAGCCTAAGGAGGACAAATGAGAATTTGAAGGTATCATTTCAAGTTTTTTCTTTTTCTCTTTGAAGCTCTGAGGGAGGATAAAGACAGAAGAAAAGTTCATTCCAGGTTTGTCATTCACACTTCACAAAAAGTAAAAATAAAATAATGCAATACTTAATATAGCTTGTCTGGTTTTATGAGACTAAGTGAAAAACAAGGTAAAGCTAAATGGGGACATTCAGAAAAAAAGAAGAAAATTCAAGGGAGAAGCAAAGATATAGAGATAAGATGGACTGTGAAGAAAAAAAGTGAATGTATTAGAATTTGGATGGCAGACTGTGGGGACCATAGGCAACAAAACTATCTCCCTCTGAGACTGAGAACTGTGAGAGGTAAAGTGATAACATAATCTTCAAATGAAGAATAATAAAAAGGAAAAAGTTCTTATTAGTTAAGTGAAGAAGCAAATAAGAGTGTAAACATGTATTACTTTTTGAACAATAGACTCACTGGTGAAGTCGGTTTTCATCCATCTCACTCTGCTCCACTTCAGCATTTGTGAAACAGAGGAAGCATTTAGTGGTCATATATTTCACTCTTGTATCTTCAGCCAGAGAAGAGAAGGACCATATTGCCAGCTTAGTAAGAAGTTACATCTATACTATGTAAGTTATCAACCCTTTCAAATAAATTCCTTGCATATTGTACTTTGGGCAGAGGAAACAGGCAAGTGTGTGGTAGGCAAAAATAAATAAATAAATAAAAATAAGTTATGACTAGCACTGGATAGATGAAATCACTATATCACAAAACATTTCAATGCTGGAACAGATTAGGAAACTAACACAAATTTGTTGAATGAATGCATGGATAAATGGGTAAAGAGAGACTTGAGATGCAAAAACAGAATAATGTTTCCTGTACTCACTCTACATTTTGTTCTCAGAGGCACTTATATTCAGATGAAAAGCTCAGAGAAATGTCAACTGAACTCTTATGGTATATGGTAGAAATGAAAGAGAGATGGACTGAACAATGATTTCAACGACAGCCTGACTGCTTTTTTTATCCCCAAGTAGTTGTCCACAAAGGTGTTTATGATGGTCAGTATGGTTTGGTGACACTCTGCAACATTATTTTCAAGAGCAATACGTCACTCTCTGGTCATATAAATTTGTTATGATGCACTGTCAAACCCACTTTAATATTTATTACAATACAATTTTAAGGTAAGGAGGTTAAAAACTATAATTTCAATTTGAGAGATGAGGAAATGAATCTCTAAATTATGAGAAAAGAAATGAGCTCCAGAATGGTTTTTGCTGAATGACTGAGATGACTTGCAAAATCACACATAGTGACAAAGCTATGACTAGAATAGAGCATCTATCTCTACTGTATCAGCCACTCAATCTTTCTCAAATAATTTCACAGGGGACTTAGCAAATAGCTAAGCTTGAGAAATGCTGTGGCCCAGTTAGCTCTCTGTCTCTGGTAAGTCCCTGTATTCTTTTGCAATACATACCTGAGAAAAAGTGGCTAGAATGAAAAAGTCTTTGAAGACATATTTTCTGTGTAAAATCAGGAAGGATGGTAGCTCAGCTACAAGAATATTCCTTGCCTGAAACACAAGGTCTTTTGAAGAGACCAGAAGCTTCTCTCTAGAGATCTCCATTGAAATCCAGCATTCCCCAAGGAGTTCTCAAGACTCTTGGCTAAGGGTGAAGGACATGTTGGACTGGACTGTGGAATAACAATCCCTGAGCATTGAGGGGAAAAACAAGTGTAAAGGGGGAAATTGATCCTGTAAGTAGGCTTCATGTAGAGTTGTTTCTACTTATGGATTCATTTCTTGAATTTGGGTAAATAAGATCTAGCTAGACCTAGAGAGTAATCTAACAGGAGAGAAACCTGAATCTAGTCAGATTCAGGTGACAGGTCAATTGGTTCTAACAATATCTCTGATACTTACATTTGGCTATGTAACTAAATTACTTAATCTCTTATAGTTTTTCTTTATATCTTAAAAAGGGTGTTTCCCCTCTCTCCTTTTTTTTTTTTTTTTAAACACTCACACTGGTACAATCATGCATTCTTTTTTTTTTTTTTAAGATTTATTTATTTGTGCATACAGAACTGGGGTACAGGCCAGAGGCTCAGGGGTGGTGAGAGGCTTCACCAGAGACAAAGTGGGGAACAGAACAGGCAGATCCACGAAGTACACTGCTGAGGGGAGCAGCGGGCGGGTCAGGAGAGGTCTGCCGCGCCATGTGGTCACCTCTAGGGCAGGCAGGAATCCAACTCATGCGGAAGCGGCTTTAGATTCTCAGCGCTGTGCTTTAACCCACTGCGCCACCAGGGAGGGCCCAATCATGCATTCTTATATGTTTTAAAGTCAACTGTTAGTGTATTTTGGCTTGAGTTTAGGAAGAAAAATTTCTCTTTGACTTCACTCTTATATCATCGGTACTTTAATATTCACTATTTGTGTTTTCTCCCCACTACAAACTGCTATGGGTCATAATTCAGAAACTTGCACTCCAATGTCTGTGTAATACTTTTGAATAGTTCACTAACCCTTGTAACTACCAACATCTGCATCAAGATATCTCCCATAATGGATCTAAACAAATGGAGTAAACACCTGAACAGAATAGCTGATTTATTGCATTGGCAATACTGCACGAACAAAACGAACTTGGGGAGCAAGCTGCAGGATGCAGGATGCTGGTGAAGAGCAAGATCCTGGCGTTTGTATTGATAGAATATTCATACAACATCAGTTGTGAGGGGAAAGAGGGCAACAAGAAAAGGGATAGTGAATCTAGAAAATGTGCTCTGTCATCTATAGTACCAGTGGTTGAGAGTCTGCCGTCCAGGCACTTTTCATCTGCTTGATGACTCAGTATGGTAATTAAGATCAAGTCCTGGATCCCCAGCCTGGTTTCAATCTGATCAACAAGGTGGATCCACAGATCAGCTTCTGGGTCCCATTGTTATACGTTAGTCCTCAGCCCCCAGGTGTTCCCAGTCATACCTTGTGATGCATAAGTAGGGAGAAAGTTTATACATCAGTCCTGAGCCCCATTAGGTTTTCCTGGTCATACCTCATGGTGAAGACCCTTCCCAGGGTGATCAAGCTGTCTGCTCTTGATTGATTTGAAAAGGCACCTTGT